AAAAGTAACCACAACACATAAACTCAATTTCTATCAATCAACCTATCGAGCAGGCTGGACTCAGAAAAGATTTTAGTACCATAAACCACTGGCAGACCGTAAGAACACTAATAGAAAAATACACCGAGTATAATGTTCCAATTCATATAGCGTTCGTTGATTTCCATAAAGCATTCGATTCCATCGAATTATGGGCAGTGTTTGAATCTCTAGAAAATGCACGTATAGATTCAAGATACTCCAACATAATTAAAAACATAAATATGAAAATGCCACCATGCAGATAAAGCTGGACGAAAGCACAAAAAGTATCATCTCTCTAAAACTATTTACCCTTGCTCTAGAAGACATTTTTAAGAAACTAGAATGGAATAACAAGGGTATCAGCGTCGGATCATACTTAAACCACTTGAGATTCGCAGATGACATAGTTTTAATAGCCGATAATATCCAAGAACTAAATGATATGTTACAACAATTACTTGTAAATGCAGTTTCGGGAGCGGTAGGTTTAAAAATGAACTATGAACTAATATAACAATAATCATACCATAAAAATGTTGAACATTATGTATATCTAGGTCATGTCATCAAACTAGGAAAACCAAATCAAGATGCTGAAATTAAAAGAAGCATATATCTTGAAAAACACCTCCATTCCTGTAAACTTAAAGAAAAAGGTGTATAATACATGCATACTATCAGTTTGTACCTACGGCTTTTAGACAGTTGCCCTTACCAAAAAATCTGCTAAAAAATTAGAAACAACGCAAAGAGCAATGGAACGAATCATTCTTGGAATATCACTGAGATACAAGATTAGAAACACCGAGATTAGACGTAGAACGAAGATTAGGGATATTGTGGAAGAAATTACAAAAATGAAATGGGCAGATCACGTAGCCCGATATAATGACCACAGGTGGACACGGAGAATTCTAGAATGGAGACCAAGGACGACAACAAGAAGCATGTTAAGACCTCAAAAAAGATGGATAGATGACATGAGAGCAGTGGCAGGCAAACCGTGGATTAGATTGGCGCAAGATAGAGAAAGATGGAAGCAATTGGGAGAGACCTACATTTAGAAGTGGATGGAAAATGGTTGACAAAGAGAGAAAAAGTGATATCGGTAACCATGAATTTTGTATTTGGATTGCCATTCGAACCACCTCTGGCGGTGTAAGTCTAATTAGTTCATTTTCTTCATCTTCGAGCTGCTGCGGTTGTTGTTGTAGTGGTTGTATCAACATCAAGCAATATTACTATCTGTATAAGAAGACAGAGCAAAATTGTTAGACCGTAGGCTGATTTGCCTGGTATGTGAGTTTTGGTATCAAATCTTTAATTAATTGTCACTTTCAAAGTTAGCTCGAGATTCCATTCAGAGTTATACTGTATTTCAATTTTGCCAATTGGCTAATGAAATTTTTGATATGGAGTAAGATAATAGTTGACAATCATCTTGAAGTTTAAATATTGTATTATTTCTCGCGACATATCCCTTTATTTGAGCCAAGATTAGCTCTATGCACTTCATATTGTCATATTATCTATGTAAATGGCATAGCCAACATCAGCAGGCCATTTTGAGCCATCAGTATAAATTTTACAACAATGGTTACAGTCTTCCAGCTTGTTCTGTACTAATAAACCTTCGTGAAGAATTGAAATAGATGAAGGAATTACTACAGCAGGTTTATATTCATATAGTATGTCATAATTGGAACCAAAGAATGGAATCCCTTCTCCATTGAATGTATATTGTAATAAATTGAGAAAAGCTTGGAGAGTATTTATTTGCCTACCATTTGTTGGTTAGATTTTTAACAAATAGAGTCAGGGAAGAGTTAGATTTTTAACAAAGAGACAAGATATTTTTTGTAATAAACTGTGTTTATTATTAAACTGGCATTTAAGAATACATTTTTCTGTCAAAAATAGATGTCTTAAATGTAAAGGTGGCTCGTTACATTCTGTTAAAAGGGCTGGTGTGGGAGTAGATTAGAGAGTTCCTAGGACTAACCTTAAATCTTTGTATTCTATTCGATCCAATTTAATCAAACGAGATTATGTCGCTGATCCATAGAAAAAGCTTCCATAGTGCAAAATTGATCTGGTATATGCTCTGTAAAATAATAAGTTTATTTTCGGGTCTGCTCCCCAATCGTATCGATTGACGGCCTTAAGGGTATTAAGGCTTTTTTCTCATTTAGTAATGCAATTATTAATATGTTCGTTCCAGGTTAATTTTGAATCCAAGGTAACACTTAGGTATGCAAAACTGTTATATGCGGGAATGTCCAGCTAGGATAATTTTAACGTACTAATTTTTGGAACCCTGTGTCTCGAAAAAAATACTACACTTGACTTCTTAGGTGAGATGTCAAGCCCATAACTATCAAAATACTTTTTGCAATAAGACATATTTACTTTAAGGCCATTAATACATTGTTTTTTTCTCAACATAGTAACAGAAGTCATCAGCATATTGTAAAATGATACACTGCATTCCCATAGTATGTAAGTTTAATGAATACAAGTTACATAGTAAGGGGCTAAGAAATGAGCCCTGAGAAACAGAAAAATTAAAGCCGTGCCCCACAATTTGTGAATTTTAAGTTGCTAAGGAAGTAACACAGAATTCATATACAATTTTTACATTCGCAATAGCTGTGAGCCAAACTGAAATAAATACGAGCAACTGTATATTGGTTTTTAGAATAAGTAAACTGCATATCGGTTGCTAAGTGCAAAATGCAAGTCATAGTACCCTTCCCTGGGTAAATGTTGTTACTTTTCATTCACCATTCTAATCGATTTTTCATGATTCGTTCAAACGTTTTGAATATACATGACATAGATATCGGTCTTGGGACATTGGAATCACTAACTTTTGGGATAGGTATTACAAGACGCTGCTTCAAAGAATCACAGTTATCACCTTTAATTAGAATATTGTTAAAAACATCACGAATAAATTGAAGTGCTATTGTAGGTAAGTTATATATCATAAGATAATTGATATACCATCAATCCCAGGGAAGGATCTCTTAGAATGCTTGATATTAGCAGTTAGTTCATTGATATTAATAGGAGATGACAAAAAATGTGATTTAAATTTATCTACAATGGGATATATTGGAGAAGAAACATAGCAAGGAGCTATTTTATGAAACAAATTTTGAACGATATTTCCGTCGTGCACATACAGATTTTTATTATTTTTTTTATCTTCTTAATTCTATCCCATATTTCAGTTAGATGAGCTTGTCTGTTTAGATTGAGACAGAAGTTCTCCTAACTGTTTCTGCCTTCTGTTCGTTTACATTTAGCATTTACTTTTTGATATTCGACAAAATTTGCAGACACATAATTTGTTTGTACCTTTTGCATGATAAGTCCAGTAAATCCAGTTTAAAATGTTTTTTTATGACAATGTTTTATTTGATTTTTTTTGCATTAAAAATATATTTGTACTATTTCTGTTAATTTCTAACAAATAGCCAAGGATTTATATGGAAATAACGTGATAAGTCCTTCTTTACAGAGGAAAAACTAGGTCCACGTCCAAGTCCAAGTAGACGAATAAAAAAATAATTATTACCATTAATATAATAATATATTATCGGATATACGCGATATGAATAAAAAAATAAACTAAAACGTAAACCAACAACCAATATAGCAAATTTTTATCTTTTTATTACTGATTAATTGTAAGATGTATTTATAGAGCTTTAAACTTAAAAATATTCTCCTGAACAAAACCAAATAATATGACTTTTAAGTTATTTTTCTGTGGTCTTTATTTGCAATTCAGATACAAATTTCAAAGAAAAGATTACTGGCACCAAGAAAACAATGGCCACTTTTCTTAACAATGAGTAGTAGCAAAGAATATAGACGCATGTGCCTCTATATTCTTTGGTAGCAGGTAAACAGATTAGGACGAGGAAGGCAATAAATTACCATTGTGAAAAACTACTGGGTAACAAACACTGCAGTGATCAATTAACATACAAATGTAAAAAGATAATCGTATGCTATTTTAAGTACATAAATAGCAGCAAGTCAAGTAAACTCACGAAATTTCACTAAGAAATTCCTAGTAACAGAGCAATTATTGAAAGTATCAATATTATGAATTATTTCAATACAAATAAGTAAGAATGTAATGTTTTTCTGATTATGTGTCGAATAATGGGTAAAATTAGCAAAGTTAGTTTCCTTGTACTCAACAAGTGATTGTAAAAATAAGGCAGAAGCAAAATTAAAAACCTTATAAAATAAAATAAACAGGTTTCTAGCTCATAGTCCACTCATTTCTGGAGCTCCTCGTATAATATACTATTTATCATGTGTTGTAATGAAATCTTTCTATAAAAAAATATATTTAGTCAATTTCTGGTTACTGTATTTTGTTTGTGTATATTGTTTTATCACGAATATTTAAATATCAGACACGTGCTGTTATTGCCGCAAATTGCAGAAAGGGATGTTTACTTTTAAATCCAAAACAACTTTTTCAAAAATGTTTTTATTTGGTAAACCATGAAGTGAATATCAAATAAAAATATTTATTACTTAAGTTTCTGATGTTGTTTTGACTAAAATTTCAATATTTAACAACAGTTATGATTTTATAATCATCTCCTAAATTATTAATTCTTTTTAAAATGATTTATTTACTTAAGAAGCATCAAAAAAATCCAAAATTTTATTTAATATAGATGCCAAATGTTTTTATTTTGACTATTTGTACCTAACAAGCTGGAAAAAATGATTTCATGTAAAAATATCTGAAAGTTAATTGACAACTGAAGAAAACATTTAAAATTTATGCAATATTTTTTTTGTAATAAAATTATTTGTCTATTATTTCATATAAACAATATTTATTTACTTCAGCCAACATTTAGAAAATTATGTTATAAAACAAAGAAAGTTTTTTGGCTGTTAATTTACCTGAAAAGGGGAAAAGTAAAACAACAGAATAATTGTAACAAATAATATTTATTTTCAAGTATTTTTCTATTAAAAATACAAACTGTATCACAGTAACGCTTGCAATACAAAAATTACACAAAAACTCTTTCATCATCAAACATATCAATAAACATTTTTTGATTATGATTGCTTACTTTAACATTGCTTTCAAAATCACAGGTACCAACTTTATATATCACATAAATTAAATTCTATCTCTACTTTACCTAACATTAAATTTAAAGCTTTTCAAAAATGGAAGAGATCTGTCTCTATTTTATCTTAAATCTAAGATTAAAGCAATTGAGCAATTATTAATAATCGAAAGACACAAGTGAGATTTTTGAATATTTACAAAAATATAAAGTCTATGTTTCACCACGGCCTCCATACCTCTTCTTTTTTAGCAACTTTTAGCAAACCTGCAGTGGAGCAATCAATGGGTTGATTGGGGGATGGACTGCACCTCGAAGAACTCGATGATGCGGGTGTCAAAGGCATTGTGTAATGGTGAGTCACTTCACTTTCTAGATTTGGTGAACCAGGAGGTGTGTATGGTGAACTTACTTGAATAACTAAAGGAGATACTTTGTCCATTTCGTTGAGGCGATGTCCAAGGTGGGTCATCAGTTTGGTTCCAAGTTGAATATCTACCCCAGGAGTTGAGGCAAGGCACCTGGAAACCTCATTGGCACAGTGTGTGTAACCAGCTCTGAATCGATCTGCATCTATCACTGGATTAGTAGACAATCTTTGTTGTTTTCTTAATTTGTGGAGATGACGCACTGTTAATTCTAAGATATCGGCTTTTTCCAATTTTGAAACATTTTCACCTTCACTCTGGAGGGCAGTAACCATAAGTTCTTTCAATTCGTCAAGGCACCTGTTGATTCTAGCTCTTCTTTTTCTTTCTAACATCGGCTTCATCACTTTCCTGTACTGATATGTACGGGATATCGGCTGCGATTCTTCAACAGAAGTCGGAGTAATCATTTCGTACGACATTTTTAAACACACGTGAATACAAACGCACTGAGCGGAGCGACAATAGCACAAGTGAACAGTTCGAGAGTAGAACTCTGAATGAATGCGAAAATGGTAGGGAGTGGGCTTTTATAACGCGCCCAGGTGTGTAGAGTGAGTTAAACGGGCCTGTGCTGTGCTTCGATCGTGGGAATCTCGGAGGCTATGGTGTTCCCACACTTTAGCCACCTGTGACTATTCGAGCGCGTGCAGCTGCTTTACTTCTGTCTCGCTCGCGGGTGCTCTCTTTTCTGTGTTAGTCAATTTAAGCACTGGCGGGTACGAGAGGAATTTTACATAATTTATGCGAGGGATTTTTTTACAAAAAAAATTAAAAAATGATAAATTAATTTATGTGGTTCCAATACTTTGTTAAATATGTATAATCTGATTATAAAAAGGCAATATTTTATGATTAAATGTGAATTATATCTTTGTTTGCAGTAGAATAAAAACCAAATCAATGGAAAAAATAATTTATTAATACCAAAAAGTCTTAGAGAATGCAGACAATAGGATAGATATGGTAAACCTTTTTCAACTTATTTTAAAGTACTAAATTTCTATCTGCATTGAAACAGGTAAAGAGCTATCCAGTATTTCTAGACCTAGGATATAGTAATTAAATATATATGACCGTAGCCATATTATTGTCTCTTCAATCATCATTATCATCATTCAACTCCAATTTTATAGAAAAAGCTTACAAAAAGTCAGAAAATAACCATATTAATTAAAATTTACTAAAATCGTTAATATAAAAAAATAAAAGATAATAACATACACAATTCATTGCAAAATTTAAATAAAATGCAAATTGCATTATAAAATCTTAAGAACTAATCATTTTACGGGGCAAAACTTGGGGAAATATGTTGCAGATTTAAGTTGTTAAGGGAGATGATGGTATAGTTTTTTTGCCGAATATAATACAGGTTTCTTTACTAATTCGGTGAACGGGATCAATAAATAAACATCAAAGGTTAAATTTATGGTGGAGTAGACATGATTAGGTTCTGCTAGAAAAACTGCTTTAGATGGAAGATGCTAAATTATTTTCCTTCCAAACAGATCTTGTAGGCTGAGGCTAGTTTCTTACTTAAAAAATGGATATGGAGGGACCATTTAAGGTTGCTGTCTATAAAAATGTCAAGAAATTTTACAGAATCAAAGATATTGATCTGGCTGGTATTAAGAAGCAAAGGTTGAAGATCTCATTTATAGGATAATGCTCTAAATTCCAGTCTTGTATACAAAACATAGCATCACTGGTATATTTATCAGATAAAAAGTCGAACTGATTTTGCGATAAAATGTTTTCAACGAGAAAAGACATAAGGCGGGCTTTTATAAGTGTCTATAATTTTTGACAGTACCGTGAGTAAGGCAATATAGGTCTATACTTTTAAGGCCTTTGATTTTTTACCACCCTTATGAAGAGGAATTGGAATTGGTGTCTTCCTGGAACTCTGGCAATATACCTTTTTCACAGGAATCATTAATTGCTGATAACAGGACTTCCAACACATTTTTTGGGAAAATGGAGAAAATTTTTATGGATAGTCCATCAGTACTACAGGAAGATTTACTTTTGATACTATTGATTGTTTAGAACAGTTCAGATTTATCAACTGGTCTTATAAAGAATAAATTAGAGACCTTTTTTGAATTGGGGAGATAGAAAATGGGATCTTGTTGTGGCAAAATAGTTGATGTTATATTTTTACTCACATTAACGAAGTATTCATTTAGATTTTCAGGGTTTGGAAGGAAAAATGTTTGAGCTGTGTTAGTTTTATTTCAAAGATGGTTTGTTGTTTGAGTTATGCTCATAATTTCAATTTGTTAACACTCTGAAAGCCAAAATACTTTGCTTATCGTGTGTAATTATTTTTTTCTTCCTATTTAAGCTATGTAGATTGTAGTATGATTTGTATGTGCCTCTTTGCATTATGACCTATCGAGATCTTTTGCGCATTATTTAAAAAATGACTTATACGTGTGATATTGAGTTAATAATGTTTAGCTATACGTTAATATTAGATATGAACACATAAACGGAGTATTCACCTCCCTCTATAATAACATATAGTCTTTCAGTCCAATGGATTGGAAATTTCCTTTCTATCTGCCACTTTCCTTTTTCTAGTACAGGATTATTATTATTATGGGACAAATATATCCAAGAAAAGATTGTACAAGCTTACAGTAAATATAAATTTGTGCATACCCATCTTTTTAGTCGATTTTAGATTTGTATGGCTACAAATTTTTGTTTTCCTCATAGAATCTTATTACACTCCCGATTATTAAATTTTGTTCTTCAAAATACATCACAAATTGGATTTTGTAATTAAAAACAGTAGTTTTAAAGTTTTTATTAATGGAAACTAAGCAATTTAACCTATTTTTAAGTACCTAGATGCATTTGTAATTAGACATAATTTACAATAATTACCCCGGAGAAGGTCAATGATAACGTGCCAATATTAACATAGTTAGTTCCTGCCTAGGTTTATTTAATTGTAGTATTTTTACGTACGTAGTCACGATAAGATTAATGGGTTGCCAAATTTTTTGTCAAATAGTCGGAACGTGATCAGACTGACTGATAGTAGTGTGTTTAATAGATGTTTTTTTTTTATAAACAACGTATTTGAACTGATAAATACACGTTTATTGCTATTGCTCGCCTGTTTCAGTCTCGTTATTGTTGAAATCAAAGGTTAACTAAAATCAAATTAAGTATTTTTAGACTGGTGGTATTTTAAATAGAGATAACACTGTACATTTAATTATCTGTTTAGTCCTTAACATATCCTTAACATATATTAAAACATGCATATCATAGCTTCTGTTTATTCAGTCGTAGGAAGATGTTGAGAGGAAATTCTTGCTTAGAAAATGATAAGATTTACAAATTTAATATTTATTATGTATGAAAATATTTAACACATTGTTTATATAAACATATTATAACTAGTAAATGTACATAATGAAGTTGGTCAATGTTTGGTATTTATTATTTACCAGTCCTTTAAAATTCAGTCCTGTAAACCGTTACTCAAATATAATTTGGGTCTCAGGACCTTTTTCTACGCCCATGGATGTATCTATGAAGACCTGTTAAAGGCAATTGTTCTTTCCTTTGCATTACAGCACAACTATGTCTATCTCTCTTCGTCGAGCTCGTGCTGGTAACGTGCTCGGTTATTTTTGTGATTTCTTTGGTACGGGAGTGCCCTGATTTTTTGCCCCTTTATCGGTATTTGGGGTAAAACATGCGCCCCTTTTTGACTTTGTTTACTGACCCCAGAGGTGAAAGGGTGTTTGGGGAGGGAAATTATAAATATGGAAATGTCGCGGATTAGGGAAATGAGTATCATTTGGATCTTATACAAAAAATTTTGTTTATGTTAATTTGTGATAGATTATCTTTTTAGTTATTTTTTTGTTCTCGTAAATAATGCTTTTATTTTAAGTTTATTAATGTATGGTTGAAACCATGGACGTATAAATGGTTGAAACTATTTTGATGAAAAATACTGTTAAATCTTTACGCCTTCAGTGTTGGATTCTTTATTTTAATGGTTGTTGCTCATCCATTTCTTCTAGTTTTCTGATCTGCACTCATTGCTCTCATTTATTCGATAATATCCTCTTTGTCCAATTTCCTTTATTGTATCTGTTCATTTTTTACTTGGTGCGTCTGTTTTTCATTCAGTTACTTTCTTTGCTTCTATATCTTTTGAGTTAATTTGTTTTGGACTTTTGCTCATTAGATGTTCAGTCTGGTAAAAGTTGTTTATTTATTTGTTACCTATTTTCTTAATTCCTGTATATCCCACGTAAAATATAATAATATACTTATATATTAGAAATATAAAACATAGCATACAAAATATAGGAAAGAACAGAAATGCTGCTAAGCAAACGGCTTTATTATGCCAAGACAGTCTTAGCAGGAAATTTTTTTTTCTGAATATCTGAATAAGGAGATATTCGTTGAGGAGAAAATATTCAGAATGACGAATGATTAACTTATTGATTTATTTGTACTATGCTATCTAGTCAACAACCAGATCGACCCCAGGTAAAGAATATTAATACATAATATTTACGAAAAAGCTGAAATGATAGTGACGTTGGCTAATGGAATCGAAACAAGACCAGTAAAAATCAACCGAGGAGTAAGACAAGGAGACACAAATTTGCAAAATTATTTATACCTGCCCTATAAGATATCTTTAAGTCAATAGACTGGGAAAATAAGGGAATCTCTCGGAAAATACTTGAACCATCTTAGATACACACATGATGTAGTAGGTACTAATAGCCGACACGTGGAATGCACTGAAAACGATGATTGAGGAGCTACACACAGAATCCCAAAAAAGGACTAAAAATGAATTTCAGTAAAACTAAACTAATGTCAAACAAAGATGACAAACCTATGATAAATATCGAAGGGACGGATATAGAACACGTAGATGAATATACATATCTGGGCCAAAATGTCAAAATAAGCAAAGAAAATCAGAATGCCGAAATAAGCAGATGTGTAAAAATGGGATGGGTAGCATTCGGAAGACTCTCATACGTACTTAAAAATAAAAATATACCTCAAATACTGCGAACCAAAGTGTTTAATTCCTACTTACATATGGAGATCAAATCTGGACATTCACTAAAATAAACATGGAAAAGGTCAGAAAACCTCAGAGAGCTATGGAACGACAGATGCAGGGTATCTCATTTAAAGACCATAAAACCAATGAAGACATTCGTAATAGAACAAAAGTAAAAGATACTGACCACGAGGAAGACCGAAAATGCCCTGGAGCGACGATATTAAAAGAACTGCAGGGCCAATATGGAAACGTCTTACAAACAACAGAGATGAATGGTGAGAATTAGGCCTATATTCGGTAATCCGAAAAGGGAGGAAGGCTTAAAGAAAGTTGGCACTTACAGCGACCAAAGTTGCTATGTATATGAAATATTGATGTAGTAATAATTCGTTCTTTCAATACAAACGAAACTGTTGTTTTATTATTTATTTAACA